TACCTCCATATAGGTACTGATACAAATATAGGAAGAGCACCTCATGACACTTGTACACATAATCAAGGGGACATACGAAGTCACAACAGAATGGAAAATTTGATGGTACGTATTTATATCTTTCGCCGCATCTTTAACCATCCATAGTTACCTTCATAATTTTTTCATGCGCACGGAGCGCTTGCGCGAACACAAGCATAGGAGGGAGTGTGCCTGTGTTTCACACCAGGCAGAGGACGTATCCCAATATTTAACAGAATGAATGATCTGCAAAAAAAAGAAGGGAAAAAAAACATGGCCTTTTTTCCTTTGGATGTGCGATTGCACCATGTTACCATTCCCACATCTTTCAAATTTGCATTTCGTAAAAAATATATATTTTTTCTTTTTTTTTTGCATTTTAAATGGAAGCACATTTCCTTTACTCTACAATTTATATAATGTTCATTAGGGCACCTTCGACAAAAACGTTTCGAAAAGTATTTGTTTGTTAATTTTAGGAGCCGCAGTTCGCAAGGCGTTTCGTTTACAACGCGTGTGTTTCTCCTTCGCTGCGCCCTTCTTTATGACATGTTATACATTGCTGCATATTTTTCTTTTTATTTTTTTTGCTTTTTTTTTTTTTTAAGTTTCACATTTTTACCTTGTGTAAAGACGAACCAAACGAAATGTATAAATCGAGAAAAAGGCGTGTGCTCCTTTGCAAGACAAACCGATTTATTTTTTCACACCATTAGAACCGGTCCTGCCAATGTGGTCGCTTTAAGCATTGGGGGAAATATCGATTTGTCGAAGCTCGCCATGCATGGCATGCTTGGAAGGAGCACTTGCTAAGAAAATTTTGGAACAGCCATGTTTACCCCTTTCTTTTCTTTTGGACAATTATGGTGGATCTTCCCTTTCTACAACAACCCTCAGCTAGTTTTCCAGCCCACTTACCTGGGCGAAGTGATCTATTTGTGGATAACAATTCAGGGAATGTATAAAAATGGAGCATTATATGTGAGTTGTCTTGTGTGTCATCCACACCACTGTTTTGACCTTTCGATAAAAACGAAGAAAAATTAAATAAATGAACACAATGAAAACCCGGTTCTGTTCCTCCTATATACACCCTTCAGATTTTTACACACATATGGATGGGGACACAGTCAAACCTTTTGGTATCAGGAGCACTTTCTTAGCTTATCCCCAGTGTTCATGCAGAGGTGTGCTAAACGGATTCACATCCATGTCAACAGTCCAAAGGCGACAGGTCATTTTTCATAATTTTTATGAATATTTTTTGCTAATTTTTTTTTATAATTATACGGAAGCAAAAGGAAGGCTCGCACAAGTTTATCTAAAGACAACTAATGCGTAATGAGTGGTAACCGCGGGGGGCAAAAAAAAGGAAAATAATTTTGACCACAAGAATGAGTAATGCGGTCATAAACAAATGCAAGACATTAAAAACTTAAAAATGGAAAAATTAAAAAAACCATCACCAAGGGGTGTGGGCGTTCGGAGAGCAGGCTGGGTCGAAGGAACTAGTGTGTATGTGAAGGCGGAGGGGGCATAAAACGAGGAAAATAGGGGAAATGAAGAAAGTAGTAAATGCAGCAAAGGTAGCCGAAATGGTTGAGTCGCCGCGGCAGGGTGTCGAAACGGACAAGACGCACCGAGCCAGCTTAACGCGCTCTACAAATGAATGGGGAGCTGCTCTCTTCGAGCACAAATAGAACGAAATATGTAGAAAACACAATAAAGAGAATACGTTGTGAGGAAGGCACACAAAGCTATGCACACTAAAAACATTTGGCCATTAGAAAACAAAACAAAACTTTTAAAATGTTCGTAAGTCCTTCTGTTCAGCAAGACCCAATAGAAATCGTTATAGTCATTCTGCTTGTACTCTTTGTAAACTTTGGACCCTTCATTGAAGTCTTCCATTAAAATATAGCCGATTAAAAAACAAAAAAAAAATAAACCTATGAAAATAAACCCCATGAAGAGCTTAAATATGCGTTCACAGAGACACTGGGAAAATATTAAGAAGAAGATGAGTATCAGACTGAAGATGTAGAGTACTAATCCTATGATGGAGAAGAAGAAGATGCCACTACAGACGAAGATGCACGCCAGGGTGATCAGGTAGGACATCGAGGGGACGTACCTGCGGGGGGAGAGAGAAGGAGGCCGTCATGAGGGAGGGCATCTCGATGAGAAGCGCCCCAAGAAATGGAAGCAAACGTGGCGCACTTTCCTAAGAAAGCGCGATGCGCATGCATGTACATATGGAAATACCAACTCAACACTTACATCAAAGTAATGGCCATAGAACTGGTCGACGTCAGCGTGGCCCCTTTGTGAATATAAATGAAAGACATCATCAAGAGGGCGGATGCTAAAATGAGGATGTTCCTTTGCTGAAGATCGTCTATATAATCATCCAGCTTAGGACTAGTGTTCTTAGCTTGCACACTTTTAATCTTATCAATTGAGTCTGAATATATTTTAATAATTTCATTCTCATGTTTCACCAAGTCATATTTTAAATTGTTAAAAAGGGAATTATTATAATGGTCAAAAATTTGCTGAAATTTTTCTGTAAACTTTTTTATTTTTTCTGAGCTAGATATAGAAGGGACAGAGTTGTTTTCCATAAATTTGTAAAACTTATCATAGAGATCAAAGTTGAGACGGACATCTTTTATCTTTTCATACAATTCAAGCACTGTATTTTCCACTAGAGTCTTTTGCACATTGATGTCCGACTCTCTTATGCTAGCAAACATTTTCATTAAATCTTCCTTAGTTAGCTTTTTCAACAGTAAGTCCTTTTTAGTGTCCAGGAAAGATTGACGATCTTTTATCATTTCTAAAACCTTCGATGCATCAAATGTGGATATATCTGAAAAGTCATCCATACCTTCACTCGTGCCAGATAGAGTTATACTATCTTCTGCAATGGTAACAATAGAATTGCCATCTCCGTGTATATTATTTATTTTATTTAGAAGCATATAATCTGGGTGGAATTTCAAGGCGTCCATTATTCCTATAATTTTCAAAGACGTATTTTTGCTTATCGAGATGGTGTAAACTCCAGAGGCAATTAAAAATAGGGAGACTATAAAGGAGCATAAATATATGGGTCGTAAAAGAGGCTTATAAATGAAATGTCCTAATAAAGAAAAAACAGACAAGGCCGCTGCTCCGATTAAGTTATATATGCTTAGGTAGTATATCATTTTTTTTTCTCCGTCCGCCCCTGCCTTGTTTAGCACGCTCAGCTCATCTTCGTTCACGAAATGCAGCAGAAATATGGATGAGCAGAAGATCAGGCTGACTCCCTTGGACCACGTTCCTATGGCTGTGTTTTCGAATCCCCCTTTTTTTCGATGGCTGCATAGGAAACACATTCTTGGGGGAAGAGGAGCACGCGGTGGGTGTAGGTATGCGAGTGTAAGTACGCGGCTGTAAGCAGGTGAGCGTGTTCATGCCTATAATACACGCATTTACGAAAAAAATGCATAGCCGTATGTGCACGTGCGCTGTGTGTGGGGGAGCTACAACACCTGGGTGTGGCTGAGAGCTGTTATCCATACCGGAGTGACACTTCGCAAACGATCTGCGCGAACCAACTTTACAACGGTGTCTGTTCCCTTGAGCATTTGCAGCAGTACACACACTTGGGCGAACTGGCGCATAGGTTCATAGGCGCCGGTCTGTCCATGTCTATGTCTACACTATCCCTGTCCCCTTCAATGGGTGCATATTCCCCCCTTTTCAACACATCACGCTGAAGTAAACCAGGGTCTCCCCGCCCCCCCCACACAGACACACACTTTTCTGCACATATGCACCTTTTATTGTCTTACTTGAATGTACTCGGATTCACTCTAATTCTTCTTGCAATCTCCGTTTATGCATTTAACTAGTATCCTTCTTTTTCCTTAACGCGATGGTACACTCTTTCGTGCTGATCACTATTATTGTGTGTTACTTTTACCTTTATAGAAAGTGATGCCATTGAGTTATCTAAGCCGCGCATATACGTTGGTGTATATACGGGGGGATGTGTGTTTTCTCTCTTCATTTAGGCAGCCCTTTTGAGTAACTCTCCCCTTTTTTTTTTTTTTTTTTTTTTTTTTTTTTTTTTTTTTTTTTTCACGAAAAACTCTCCCCTTTTTTTTTTTTTTTTTTTTTTTTTTTTTTTTTGCGTTTGTCCAGAAGTGATAAAAGACAAAGGGGAGAAAAAAAACATTTTCCCTATTTATCTATTTCTAAATTTTTTTTTTTTTCTTAAATTGTGGCATTATAAAACAGCTGCCTCAGTGGAAACGCAAGTGAGGATAGACTTGGCGAAAGAGAAAGAGTGAAAAAAAAAAAAAAAAAAAAGGCGATGAAATGAATAAGCTGTTAATCGTCACTACTGTTGCTGTCATTATCGCCTTTTATATTATTCCTTTTTCGCGCTATGCAGAAGCAGCAATGAAGGACACGAGCGCATAATCGAAGTACCAAGTGATACATGTAATCGTCACTTTAGTGGCGCTAAATGTACGCATTGTTTTGTTAGAGAAGTGGCGACAAGTAGACAGACGTTTTTCTCATCACGCATATGTAAGGACCCGTGCGTGAATACACGCTTATCTGTCCATATCCATATCTGCGAAAAGGTGTGTATTCATTTGTTGTCCCTTTTTTCTAATGCGTTGTGCTCCCTCATAAACATCCCCTTGTGGGAATACGCGGACCGCTAGCTCACAACGTTGCATGCGAAATGGGCGTGGCGGCGTGTCGAGAAGTCTCTTGGAGAGCGATGTTTATTATGGATACACGAACGAGTTGCACAATCGCGAAAAAAAAATAAATAATAAAATAGAAAAGTAGCAAAATAGCAAAAGAAACGTATGCGCTTCGTTTTTTTCCTTTTAAATTGTTTTCCTCAGATCGGCCAAAAAAATTGCGTAGAAGATACAATTCTGTTTATGAAAAATCGGGGAGAATAAAAAATGGAAAGTAAAATGCACCATGTTGTTCGCCCCTTTAGCAGTACATCGCATTCGTTTCCTCCCCCCCAAAAGGGCGCACACGCTTATTTTAATTTTCCTCGAAAAAACACACAACTTTATTCATTCACTCGCACATTCGTTCTATCGCTCACTCCCCGTTCCTCTTTTTTTTTTCTTTCTTCATTCATGTAGTACCACGAGAAATTATAAAATGGTTGCAGTATTTAAATCTGCCTTATTCGTTTAGAAATATTAAAAACGCTAGCAATGGCGTAATCGTCGCGGAAATTATAAACGTATACCTGCCCCAGGTACGTTGCACTCCTTTTTTATTCTGACCAGACTTTTCATTTTGTCTGTTCGAGTTGTCATTTTTTCTGCTCCCATTTTGTTTCATTTTTGTCTGCCGCTTCTTTTATGCATTTTTGTCTGCCCCCTATTTCCTGCATCTTTGTCTGCCCCTTCTTTTATGCATTTTTGTCTGCCCCCTATTTCCTGCATTTTTGTCTGCTCCCTATTTCCTGCATTTTTGTCTGCCCCCTTTTTAAAGATTGCACCCCCACTACATTTCCTCTTTTCCTTTTCTGCCCCGTGGAAGACCATCAATATGAACAGCTTGGAAAATGGTTTTGGAAAAGAAATAAAAAAAAAAAACTGGCAAGTCATAAAACGAACATTAACAAGTTTAAGCATATATTTCGATGAAACGGCTGTTATTAATTCGGACAAAGGTGAGGAAGCGCACTGTGGGTTGTGCCTCGGCCGGGGCGTGGGCATAATTTCTGTACAAAAAAAAAAAAAACGCACAAAATGAGGGGAAGCGACTATGTGTACAGACGCAACCTATGTGTGCATCTCTCTCGCGAGACCGCAGCTTGTACCCCCAGATGTTCTCACATCTACCTTTTCCCCTGCAGATGCCATAATAAATTTGTTCGTTCAGTTGTACGAACATTTCAATGGGAAAAAAATAAAAAACGAGCTCTACTGCAGTAAGGAAGAAAGTAGCGCGTTGTCTGTTCCGTCATTTGCCAGGTCTACCATAACACAGAAAGTCCGGTGAGTTATCGTCTACGTTCGCGCCAATTCTTGCCTCCTAGCTGGTTTAATCTGTGAAGGAAGCTTTGTTAAAACGTCCATGTTGGTTCACTCTCGTCTTTTGGAGAGTCTACCTACGTGACTGAATACGTAGCTAGATACGTGAATATATACGTGAATACATACGCGCATATATGTCGTAATCTACGCCCCCACCCACATTTACACCTTTTAGCGAAAGCAACGTCCACGACATTGTCGACGAAGAGAAAAAAATGATGAGCACCTACGAAATAATAAAAAGGGAGGAATACGTAATGTGCCTCGAGTTTCGTTTATTGTTGTTCCGAACGTGCCTATATATGTGTGCAGTCCCATGTGTAAATGCATGTGCAGACGCCCCGCTTAACCGCTAACTCAAAACGAATGCTCCTCCTACCAGCAAAACGCAATGATGAGAATGCGGGAAAAGGAAGAAAAAGAAAACAACAACAAAATAAAACATAAGGGGAAAAAAACGGGTCTAAATGAGACGTCGATTTTTCAGGGACTCGAAAAAAGTAGCAGTATCATAACCATAAATGATATTAGCAACTACATGGATTACACTGACATCAAAACGGTGAGTTCGCCACCCCGGTGTGATCATCTCTTCAGTGAAATGGCTGTCAAAATTGTTTATATATGAACAAGCCTTAGAAAGTAAAACACACAAAAAAAACAATCCCATCGGTTAATATGCCCCTCTGTTAGCTTGACTCATTCATCAAAGACAAAAACAACTTGAAATCAGCGGCGTTTATGAAGTAATGGAGAGGGTGTGCAGACCCATCACTAACACGGATAGGCAAGGCGTACGCACAGAGTCGTAATTACACACAAGCGTAATTCGAAACATGTCTGATTACTTCTATGCGCAATTTTAACCCTGCTGTGAGGTAGCCGTGAACCAGGTTTACGCCCACCCCGATGCTGCATTCGTTACCGACACACTTTTTCAGAAGCATGAAACTAACCAACGAGGGTGAATGTCAACCGGTACACAAAAAGGGATATACAGGTAGGACTTCTCTTAACCATGTGGAGAAGGGAAGGCGTCCCTGGAAATGTGCACAGCAGAGTCCGCACCAAGTAGTTCCCAGTGTTACCACCACATGTGTGGCCTTTTTTAGACGAAAACGTAGAGGACATCATAACGGAAGTTTTATCGGAAAGTTTATCCGATTACAAGATCGAAAAAAATGACGAAAATGACGAAAAAAAGGATGACAAAAATGTGTCTCTACGCCCCGCTAACATGATGAAGGGGGTTTATAAATATGCCACCCTTGAGCCATACGATGAGGAAGGTGCAAATAATTTGTACCAAAAGTTCTATGCCCTGTGTGCCTTGAAAAAGCAAGGTAACGTTTTCGGTTAACTGCTTCTCGAAGTAGGCCTGAAAAAGGCCTTTAAAAGGCTTAACAAACAGAGTCGTATTGAAAATGCCAAACCTTTATGCCCTCCCTCTTCCGCCCAGAATTGATAGACAAAATACTGAACGAACTGACACTCTTTAATGAGAACTTTTACCTAATCCTGTCCTTGAGGGGGTACGAGTTTTTCCACCTGTGGAAGTTGTTACATCCTGGTATGTAAAGGAGGAGGGTAAAACATACAAAAAGGAAGGATAACTTGTCTTTACTTACAGTGCCCTCTTTTTTAACGAGCACTTATCTATATATAGAAACCCCTTTACTTTTGTTACGTCTTGTGCTAACCCACCATCCGTTTATTACCTCTTCTAAAATGGCCTCACATTTTTTCCAAGTCCTATCTAGCGCAAAGTGCGACTGCGGAGTTTTTACATCCATTATGAATTATCTAAAGCAGCTATTGGGTTATCTCAAAATAAATGACACGACGACGAGTGAAGTAAGTGGTGGAATTTCTTGACCACGTACGGGGTGTGTGTGTCTATGTGGGGTTGAATTTGTACATCTATGTCTGTGCAGGGAGAGGTAGATCTTTACTGATTGTGTAGATTTGCGGAAGACAGCAGTGGCATTCTCCTCCTATTCTTCACTATGCCTTACTACCATTTTTTGCAAACAAATGAAGAGCCTCCCCTCAATGATAATAAAAAAAAAAAAAAAAAAAAAAAAAAAAAAAAACGTTTTCCTTTATAACGAGGAATTTCTTTCTGTAGATAATTTGCAACATAATATTGAAAGGCATGTTCGTGCTAGACACCGGGAGGAATAAAAACATCCGAAGTTTCTGCGAACTGATAATTTTGTTGATCAACAACGATAGGCATTCATTGATGAACATTTTGAGGATGATCAAAGATACCATGTCGTTGGATTTCTTTTACCTTTTCTTGCTGACCCTGTTGAGCGGCATGGCCAATTCGTTCATACGTGTAAGGAACGCACAGTTAGATAGCGCAGTGATTAAGACACAGGATTTTTATTTGTCTATTTAGTTTCTTATTTTTATTCTTTTTTTTTATGATTAATTTTTTTTTTTATGTGACCACCCTTTACTTCTTCCCGCAAACACAGCAAAAGGACGTGAAAGACATCTACCTCTACTACCTATTCGTTGGACTGCACACAAACAGAGAGAACATTATGTAAGAGAATGCTTTACGCAGCGGGGCAAATACGCTGGTTGTGCCTTCTGTTCCTCTGGTGCGCCATGACAATTTTGTTTTTCTCCTTTTTATTCCTGCCTTCTGAGCAGGTTGTACAGCTTGGAAATGCTAAACATGCTTAGTCTGTTGGATCTCTATCCCGACATAGTTCATCTGGCCGGTATTCCCACAGAACTATGTCATCTACTGCACCCATGTGTGGGGTTACACCTACCCACGAAACTTTTCAACCTTATAATTTTATATGTGAACTCCATTTTGTCACCTCCTGGTAGGTCTACTCAAAAACATACTAGAAATAAACAACCGAAATTACGATACCTATTTGTTCACCATTAGCTGCAATGTGGTATGCAAAATGAAGGAGAATCAGGTAAGGCAGTGGTGCATTAGCACTACGATAATGCTTATGGAACATACGCACAAATGGTGCGAAATGGATACTCCTCATTCGCACTAAACAGGGGAGCAGTGCAATATATATATATATAGTTGCGCATGCCGAACCTGTACCTTGACCGTTTACAGAAGGAAGACCCCTACAACGCAGAACTGGGACAGTTGGTGGAAATCTGTTTCGAAGTCTTAAGACGCACCAAAGCGAAGTAAAACGAATGGGGGAAAAAGAAAAGAAATTAAGCACGAGAGGAGCACCGCATAAGAAAAAAATATAAAATTTTGTGCACTAAATTTTTCTCTATTTTTCCAGGAAATTGTTATACTTTTTTTTCTTGTACTCCCACAAGATACTGAGCATGCATGACGGTTTTTTTGATCTTTATTTGAAGGTAATTTTGCACGTAAAAGGGGCGAGATAGAAAGAATTTCACGTGCGTAGTAGTGATACGTTATCCCATGCATCAGTGCTTACCTTGGCACTGCGCGCAGCCACTCATTTGTGCAACCCTATTTCCCCCTTTCTTCATATAACCCCAAACGGAACTGCGCAGCGATACAACGAATTGAGCGACGAGGAACAGAAAGTTCTCCTCAGTAACAACATTTTCGAAGCGTCATTTCGGCAAATATGCAGCTGCAAATTTGTCCAGAAGCATTTTTCGAATATCTTTTGCCAGAAGTTAAACATGCTAAGCGAGGAAAGTAATGTGTCCCTTTTGCATTTATTATTAACAAAGGTGGGATGAGGAAAAATTCTTTTAACGTAGAATCTTCCTTAGAAAGGAATGAATTTTATTTTTTTCTTTTTTCTCAATTTTTACGATTTCTACGATTTTCTGGCACTTTAGGGAAAGTGGAAAACTGGGCCATTTTTGAGAATATTAAAAAATTACATAATGTACACCGGTAAGTAAAAAAAAAAAATGGCACAAGGATAATTTGTTTGATCTTTTCTATTTTCCCCTTTTGTCATTTTTGAAGTGTTCATTTGCACGCTTAAGGAATATCTTCTTGCGAATCTCCAATTTTTAGAAAATCTGGAAATGCTCTCATATTTGAAAATATACGAAACGATTTATGAATATATAATTCAAAATGTATTTTTGGAGAATTCCCCGGATTTCGACTTATCGAAGGAGATAGTAATAAAATAACACCCCTTTCTACTATTGCTGCTTCCTTTTTGTTCGTCTACGACTAGGCGTGTTTTTTTTTTTTTTTTATGCGTGTATGCCCCCCCTCTGTGAAGTGGCTGCCTACGTAAAAGCACAATTATGTATATGGATGCTTGCGTGTGCATTTTTGCACAACACTGATAGGGGAATAAAACTCCATGCGGAAGAAGGGGCACTGCTTATTTGCTAAGTATATTCCTTCTCTTATTTTTTGCGCAGCTAAATTTTTTCTGGTTCTCGACAAACGATGAATTAAAGGCTCAGTCATTCCAGGTGAGAGAAGAAGAAGGGAAAAAGAAGGGGGGGAAAAGCGTTCACCCGGAGGAAAGTGCGCTGCAGATACGCATTTGCCATCAAAAAAGGGAAGAATCGTATACACTGCTTTATTTTGATTTTCTTAATTTTGTTTAACTCTCTTTTGTATTTGCTCTGTGTAGATTTCCCTGAGCCACTTTGAAAATTTATTTTTAATGAACAAGAACAACATGGGGCCACATACAAAAGAGTATCTTGCGGAGTTGTCGAAAGGTGAACCATGCAAAAAAAAAAAAAAAAAATCCCCTAATTTTATTCCTTCATTTTCAGAGTAAAATTGCGACAATATAACCTCTCGTGCAAAATGATTGCATAACAAAATTGTGTGAAATTATAATTTCTGCAGATGTCTACTTGAAAAAATTCGTGCATTGAACGGAGGAGTTTTTTTCTTGTTATTACCGTCGAAATGGCTCGAAATAGCGAGAATGGGAGCAAAACAGTGAAAAGGAAAATTTTATATTTTAAAAGAGAAGTTATAAACATTGAATTTAGTATGCTAAGCGGATCAATTGGAAAAATCGCGTAAAAAATTACACGAATAGTAGAAAAAAAGATTTTACTTCGAAGTGATAAAAACGGAGTACTAAAATTCATTGTTTCTTTAGCCCCTTTTTTTGTTATCATTTTTTCGTATCCGACGTGCTCGGATGATACTTACGCGCGAAAAAGGGCATACAATGCTCGATCGATAATTTATTATTTACATGCGTATTTACATCCAAGGAAAGCATATGCAACTGTGCTATGGAGTCGAAATACGCATTTCTTGATTCCCTCCCCCAGTCATAAATATCCGAAAAATTCTTTTACAAGTCCACTGTTAATAAGGAGATCAAGCCTAAATTTTTTTTTTTTCTGAAAATGGCAGTTTCCATTTCGGTACCCTTCATGTTCCATATATGTGACGAATTTTTAGTATGCAAGGCCGGAAATTATCATTATACAAAAAATAGTGCAGTAAAATTAATGCAGTAATAAATTTCCTCGTTCAGTGAAAGATTTCCATTTTTTGGCTTGAAAATTGAAGTACATGCAATTATCCAGCGAAATGGAAAAGAAAAAAACCGTTTTAAAAAAAGGCTGAGTAAAATATTCTCCATTTGGCCAAAAAAAAAAAATTACAATCTTTTTTAAACGCTTTTGAAAATGGGTATATGTCGTAATACGGGGGGAAGGGAAGCAGTGCATAATAAATATGTAATTCATTTAAGTCACCGGTATATATTTGAGGGGTTACCTCCCTTACGGGGCTAGATACATTTTTGTTTTATTTTCCCAAATTGGACATGATAAGACCTAAATTTTTTAAGGGATACATTGATTTTTTTGAATGGCTTCCCATTTGCTATATTATAAAGGACAAAATGGGTTTAAATGTTTGGAAATTCGCAATTTTCTTTTTTCTTTTTTAATTTACATTTTTTGGTCATTTTCGAAAAAACAAAACAGAACAAAACGGCTAAGTGCACAAATAAATTTATGCAATGGTTTTACAGTGCTATAATGGGAAATATGGCGTGGTATGCTCTTTTTTTGACGTTTTTTTTGTATTTTTTTTTTTTTTTCCAATTCTACATATATCACATTTGGTGGTGGTGTATTTTGGCAAAATTAAAATTGTTTTACGTGTTTCAGGCGTTAAAACAGAACGTTCTAATTCGTTTTTTTTTGGAAAAAGTGGTATTCAATGAAATGATGATTGAAGAAGGAGAAAAAATTGCCTCCCATTTACCAGTTGTTACATATTAAGCGTATAAAAACCGCGGTTTTGCTTTGCCTAAAAATTTACCCTACCATTTTTTAATTTTAAAAATCAGAATTCGGAATAACTGCTTGCAATTTCTTGGGCTTTTAGAGGCGATAAAATGTTTTTATACTTAAGTGCACTTGGCAAAAAAAAACGAAAAATATTTTTAACATGTAAAATATGCATGACGGTAAATACGCGGTTGAGTAATGTACACTGTTTTATATGCAAAATTGACGATCCATGGCCAGAGCGCATATAGGAAGAAATTTTCTATACGTGTTGAAAAAATCCGGTTTTAAAATTTAAATATAAAA